CCTCTACACGATCCGCTACACTCGCGAACTCACGGTCATAAGTCCACACGCTGCCTAGTCATGGCCAGTCCTACTTGCTGCAGTGGAATTGAAGGAAATTCGGATTTAGTAGGAATCGGGGTCCGTCCTCTTGCTCTTAATCTACTTTATCTTTTGTAAAATCTGACAAACGGACTTCCCAGACTCGAATCAACCTTTATGTCACGATACTCCTTTCGGCTATTGTACTCCCGCCCCCCAAGGACGAGGAAGGACCTACGACCGACCTTTTGGACGATCTTTTTGTGAATTCAATTTTCTATGGTCTCGCTGTTCTCATTACTGCTGTCGTCCAAACCATACAAAAACAACTAGACTTGTATCACGCTCTCTTCGTGACGCAAGTGCTAATATCCCTCGTACTTCTTCATCTCTACGGTATGGCTCTTGTCTGAATGGGGAACTGCTGCAGAGTACTGATCAAAACACGGGGAATACAGGCGCAAAGAGATATATCACGAGAAGAGACGAGGAACCCGTTTCCAAGTTCAAAATGAACGTTACTATTGCCTTTCAGGTATTGCAGGTCCTAATTTTGATTCCTTGGGCACTCTACGTGTGGATCAAAGACTCGCAATTTGGTTCGCAGCCAGAGTGCAATCACTTCGTAAAATATGTCCTTTTCTTCGTCACCGTCCGGGCCACCGTTGGCTGGCTACGTATCTTAGCATTCGTTGGCCTCGCCGCGTGTGCGGTCGGTTTGATTTTCGTTCTCGTGTTGGCTTTCCAACTGCAGAAATACCTCAAAGATATCTTTCGAGGGACTTCCGCCGAAAATCGAGGGACTTCCACCGAGAATCCGCCCGGAGCCTTAGGATTCGTCTCTGACACGCTGGATTGGGTCTCGGGCACGTTGAGAAACCCCCCTGGCAGGTTGGGGCGGGGCGTCTCAGGCGCGGTGTTGGGTATCTCTAAGTGGGTGGTGGACACCTCTAATGGTGTGGTGAAAGCCGTCAACAACCGGCTTCCAGATCCCAGTGAGGGTGTGAAAAAGAAAATGGAAGATTTGAAGGCCAAGTGGGAGAAGAGGATAATGCGTGTTGGTAGGGTCTTGTGGGTCTTCTCTATACTGTGCGTTTCTTCGGTATTTCCGTCTCACGATAGTGCTAACTTGACACTCTCACCACACCAGAGCTGCGATCTACAGTGTCGTGACCATGGAATTGATAGTCAGTGAAGTTTCCCTCAAGCTCCTACGCTGGGAGGCATACTTATGAAAATCCTCCTAGGTTCATCGCAACCACCCGCTCATCAAGCAAAATAGCTCAGAAGATCAATGGGGCTTTGGCCAGATTGCTTCCATCATCTTGATATTACCCATTGCTATCGACGTACTGGCCATCTGGTTCAAGAGAAACGAGCCCTCTAACACTGCCAGTGACAGTTCCTCGGCCCGTCCCTCAGAAAAACAAGGCTAAGTGGAAGTTACTAGCATTTGCCGAGGGACCACCTCGGGTGTTGGGCCTGAAATCTTGCCTCCCGCACCCTCTTGGCGGCCCCAGACCCACGTAGGACAGGTGTCCTGACACGGTCTCGCCACTCTTTAGCGAAGTACTTGCACCGTACCAGACCCTCGAAGTTATTTGTCTCTTTGACCCTTTAATTACCGCGTCAGTTACTTTTTTGTCTTGTATCTTTCCCCTCTGTACCTGCTTTGTCTTCGTCCCACCTTATGCCGCTCTCAGTCCCTCTTACTCTACTCCACATTGCCTTTTCTGTGATAACTACGGTTTCTCCTCAAATTTAAACACCTTGATGTGTTGTCTGATACACCGAGGGCTTCCTCGTCTGGTAGCCAAAGTGGCTCCGTTGGCCGCTGGGTATGATCTCAAAGACGTGCTGCGCAATGCCATGCCCGGCACCAAGTCGTCTGCGCGCATTATGCCGCGCACGTGTGCATCTCGCGACGAAATTCCCATTGGGATCCGGCGCGGTCGGAGGCGCAGACCCCCGCGCCAATCCCAGGTGTATCGCAGGTCATTTCAAGTCCCGAGGATTCGAATATGGCAAAGCCGCACAAAGTTTCGATGTGTCGCACTTAGATAAAGCGCAACCCAAAGGTGAGGATGTATGGTGAGTTCCCGGCCGCCGCTGTGCGTGACAATTCTAATCTCTGTACGTGGACGGTAGACAAGCTGCGAGATGAGGAGCTAGGCGCCGGATGAGGCTTACGTACGTGTTGCTGGACGCCACCTTCAACCCGAACATTGATGACGCAGCATGTGAATTTAAGGATGCGCCACTTATTGAAGACAAGAATGAGCCTGAGGCAATGTATTATGACCAGCTTGATGACCAGCTCCCCGTCATGAGAAAGCTTGGGAGGGATGGGGGACTAGAGTGAGTCGGGCGGCTAGATCAATGTCCGAGTCAAGAGTAATGACGAAGATCGTCTCAGATACTGCTGACAACGAATATGATAATGAAGAGTGCAACGGCAAACTCCCAGAAAATGATGGCCTTCCACTGAAGCAAGGCCCACCCTTGAGCCGCACCTCATGACGGCGAAGGTTTGTTCTATCTTGCCATCCCCGACTACCTGGCACGTCTTTACCTGCAGATTCTTAATCCGGCCAATTTCGCATTAATCAATTACTGATGACATAGCGAATACAAGCTACCACCAAAGCGGTTGAAAGTGGGGGTGGTTCTTCTGAAAAGCGCAAACTTGCGTCTCTCGAAGCCATCAAAAAGGCGGCCTCCTCTTCCGGTGCGGGCGACACCCCAAGAATCATATCGGAAAGCACCGTTCTCAGCCCGCACAAGAAGGCGAGGGCGGACCACGGAGAGCCCGTGGCACCGATAGTGTGCGGCTGCGAGGCTGGGAAAACTTGAAGTTAGGTTCGCTGAGGGCAAGCCCAAGGAGATGGCGAGCAGCTTGACGAATCGCGAGAATGCGCGCAATGCGCAGTAACCCGATGATGATGATCACGGGAGGCGGAAAGAAGCAGTCCTTGCGGGAGAGGCAGAAACACTTGCGACAGGGTCATTGATCATTTCATCATTCCTTACTCCTATCCTAGACGAGGCGTTATGTTACTGTAATATAATTGGCTATGGCTTTCCCACAGCTTTCGAGTCTCGCCTCGCCACTCTTAGTCACTCCTAGTGAAGCACCTGCACCGTACCAGGTCCTCCGAGTCTTATTTGTCTCTTTGGTCCTTTAATCACCGTGTCGGTTACCCCTTTGTCCTGTGCCTCTGTTTATGTTTTGTCTTGTCCCACTCTCGGCCACTCTTACTCTACCTCACGTTACCCTTTCTGTGATAACTGCAGTTTCCCTTGTGGTTTTGAGCACCTTTATATGTCCGATACACCAAACTACCAAGAGGGCTTCCTTTCTGGTAGCCAAAGTGGCGTTTGGCCACTTGGGTATAAGCCCAAAAACATGCACCGTCGCGGCAACACCGCACCCGGTGCCCAATGAAGTAGCGCGACCTTGCGCCGAGTCGTCTGCATGATGGAGTGCACGCGTACATCATGCGACGGGGCCTCTTCCCACGTCCCATTAGGACCCGGCATAACCGGCGGCGCAAATCCTTGCGCCCATCCCAGATACGTAGCAGGTCGTTTCAAGTCAGGAGGATGATATGGAAAAGCTGCCCAAAGTTTCGACGTGTCACTCTTAGATAAGGCACGAGCCGAAGATGAGGGTGTATGGTAGGCTCTTAGCGTCCGTCGTGCGTGACAACTCTAACTTCTGAACGCGGACGGTAGACAAGCCGAGCGATGGGGAGCCTGGCGCCGGATGGGACTTATGTGCGGGTCGCTGGATGCAGCCTTCGACTTGAGAATAGTTGACGCAGCACGTGAATATAAGATTTAAAGATGCGCCACGTACTGAAGACGAGTATGAAGAGCCTGAGGCATATCTCCAATTAGCTTCCTGTTAGGAAGAAGCTCGGGAGGGGGAACCAGAGACCAGTGTGAAAGCCCGACCCGTCGGACGATTTATCAGACTAGGGTGGCCGGACCAATATCAAGAAATTGACGAGAACGATGGCGGTGACCGTCTCAGAATCTATGACAGAGACAAGGATAAAAAGAACAACGACAAGCTCCCAGAAAATGAAGGCCTTCCACTGAAGCAAGCCGCACCTCTCGACGACAAGGGTTTGTTCCATCTTGCCGTAGTCTGAGCGCGCGGCCGCGATGGCAAAATTTTGGCTCGCTGAAGGGCAAGCACAAGAAGGAGACGGCAAGTAGTTCAACAAACAGCAAGAAAGCGCACAACAAGCCGAGCATGGGCAGTGAGGGGGTCAGAGGCAAAAAGAAGCGGTTCTTGCGAGACTCTGAGAAGCAGAAACGCTTGCGACAGGGCTCATCATTGATCATTTCGTAGTTCCTTACCCTTATAGACGAGGCGTCATGTCATCATGATCGACTATGGCTTTGTAGTGATTCCACAGTCTTCGAGTACGTATCTGTAATAGTGGGTCCTTGGAATAGCAAGAGGAATGCATACAAGGTGCAACTCATAGAAAGAACTCTTAAGTTCAAGTTCGTGAGCCAATACCAGTTTCTTATCCACTGCAGAATGGTTCCCCTAAGCCATGGACTGGGAACTACTCTTTTAATCTTAGAAAATCCTGACGTTACCTTGGACGCTACTACATTACACCTGCATCACATCACCCCTAGGCCTGTACACAGTTGTGCAACATATGCCATTGTCGCATGTCATGCATGTCACGTAGTAGTGTGGTACACCTGGTGGCTGACAGCGCTGACAGGTGAGGTCACGATATACTGTACTATTGCCATAGGTGGTGTAGTAGGAGATTGGCAGCGCACCTCAAGGCGCACCTGGTCCAAGTACGACTCTGACAGGCTATACTTGAGCCTCCTTCCAAGTCTCCTTCTATCCCACTGTCCGGGGATAGGGAAGTATCGTCCTGTTGGCCTGTTGGCCTGTTGACCCCTTGGTTGACTTCAGGTGGCCCTGGACACGAAAAAGTAGTAGCCCACCGCGAGGGTCGAACTCGCAGCCTTCAGATTACAGAGTATGATTAACACCTGCCTAAGAGTCTGACGCTCTATCCGATTGAGCTAGGCGGGCATTGATATTCGATTGTAATGTGTGAGCCATCATGATCTGCTTGCTGCTGGTTGTGCGTCATAGTTAAACGGGCCGATGGAGCCGCTTCGCTCTCGGAATTTTGCGACCGGGGTAACCAATCGCTGCGACCCCAGCCGTAAGGTCACTTTGATACATCACCCAAACGAACTTGATCTGTGTGAGTTCGTAGGCGGAGTAGATTGCGGAAAGAAGGAAGGAAGGAAGGGAAAAAATCAAGGGACATAGGAGTAGAGTGGGCGCGAGGGTGGATGCTGACCGAGGTGGCACGAACTTTGAGAGACGAGACGAGGGAGAACTTTCGAGTGACCTCAACTGAGCCCAACTTCCTAGACAATCACACCGAGCTGAAGAGGCGGGAAATGACAATTAAAAACTGTCCATCGGAAATCACAGAAGGTCGTTCAAATACAGGGGAAACCGTAGTTACTACAGAAAAGGTCAGGTAAAGAGTAACGTAAGAGGGGCAGAGAGTGGTACTGGATGGAAACAAGATAGCGATGAAAGGGGTAATCCACCAGCATGGTTGTCGAAGAGATAAATAAGAGAGCTGGGCTCGGAGCATGTGCGTGCCAGGACGCGTACAAGATTTGTTTCCTGTCCCCCCCCCCACCTGTGCAAAACCAACCTGCTTCGTTAACTAGTTGTGATAGGAACATGAAATTTAAGGCTAGTGAGATCCTGTGGATATGGAAGGAAGTGGCAAGGGGGATAGATTACAATTTGGAGTGACATTTGCCACACAAGCAACCCTAGTGCTTAATTATGGTCCAGCGTGGGCCCGAGAAGGCCATGAGGGAGCGGAAAGGCAAGGTTTCAGGCCTTTCAGGTCCAACGCTCGGGCTGACCTTACAACGAGCACAAGAGACTGCCACTTCTCGTTCCTTATTCCGGGTCACCAGAATACCATCTCTTGAAAGCGACCATTATTTCGATGACGATGGGTAATATCAAGATGATAGAAACAATCTGTCCAAAACCCCAATAATCCTCACCGGCCTGGACGTGCGGGTGATTACGATGAACCTAGGAGGGTTTCCATGAGTACGTCTCCCGACTTAAGGAAACGCCACAGACTATCAGCTCAGTGCTCGCGACACCGTATGCCGCAGGTCTGGTGTGGTGAGTTAATATCATTATCATGAGACGAAGGTATTGAGGAAACGCACGGGATCCAGAAGAACCACGGAAGACCGTCGTCATCGTCGGACTCAGCGCGCGATAGTTCCATAAGGTCACGCCACACAGTAGGCACTGTGCTAAGACAGACCAACCAGGCGACCACGCTTACAGCGAAGCAAACGATAAACATGATCCGTAGCCAACCAATGGTCGCCCGGACGGTGACGAAAAAAAAGACATATTTTACGAGGTCATTGCACTCTGGCTGGGCACCGAATTGCGAGCCTTTGATCCACACGTAGAGCGTCCAAGGAATGAAAATGAAGAGAACCTGTAATACCTGGAAGGCTATAGTAATCTTCATTTTTAAACCGAATCTATCGGCAAAGAAAAATCTCTTGATCCCTGTATTCTCGCCTCTGGTCAGCACTCTGCAGTGTATCCTCACGAGGACGCAAGTCATACCGTAGATATGAATAACTGTAAGGCATACTAGCATATGCATCACGAATATAGCATGATACAAGTCTAGTTGTCCTTGTATGGTCTGGACGAGGACAGTGATGAGAAGGGCGAAACCATAGAAAATTGCGTTCGTATAGAGCGAGTCCAAAAGTTCGGTCGTATATTTATTCTGGGGTATAAGAGCCACAAGGAGTATCGTGACATAGAAATTGAGGCGGGTCTGGGAAATCAGTTGGTCAGATCTGCAAGCAATTCAAAGAGCAGCAAGACCCACCCCGATTCCTGCTAAATCAGGGTTTGATAAAATTCCGGTGCAACTAGTATCGGCCATTACTGGGTAGTGTATGGATTTGAGATCGTGTGAGTTCGCAGGCGGAGCAGATCCCGCAGAGAAAAGAGGAGAGGAGAATATAGCCAAATGGTCGCAGGAATGAGTGCGAGACCACCAACGAGAAACCGAGACGATGAGACGAAATACAGGTGCCCTCGATTGGGCCTGACTCGAGTTGATCACGTAGAGAAGGGGGACGAGTAGCGACCGAGCGCTGTTTTGTTCAGCAAGAAGTGGTGATTTTGGTACAGGCAGAACAGTACCTACTACAAGAAAAGGTTAGAGTTGGGGAAGGGGGAGTAAAGGCGGGACGGAGGGACGGAGGGACTAATTTGGGTAGACAAAGGTAGGAATGAGAGAATCTGGGCAACGTACAGTTAAGTGGTATGGGTGAATCCGAACGGTCGTGCGCGTGATCCCTGAGCAAGCTGAGCCGTTACGAGATAACCGAGAAGGAGCAAATATGTGGGATCTCAGGACCAGCCACAATGGTGGTCTTACAGCAGATTTGCTCCGATAACCAAAAGGGATGGAGAAATGAGTATGGGCGAGCACGATGGGACCTAGGGATGGAAAGACGAGAGACTTGGGTGGGTTCTTCTGACTTGCGTGAAAAATCGTGCCAGTGACAGAAAAAGGTTCGATGGGCCAGCCATTTGGGCAAATGCATAAATCCCAGTAAAGACATACTAGGGGATCCAGACGCCGACCATTAGAGCGCCGTACAGGACGATGCCCAAGAAAGTCCTACCAGTAATTCAGAATTTGCCTAGCTGCGAGTGCCAGTGTCTGAAAGAAGTCATCTAAACTTAAAATGTGGACAAGAACCATCCATCCTCTCTCTATTACTGTACTATAACATTTGAAGGTTCCAAACGATAGGCCCGAGTTCACCGGCGGACTTCCAATATTCAAAAGCGGGGTCCATATATATTTACGTACTGTAAGTTACAGGAGAAATTCTCGGGAAATTAGCTATGGTATATCTCCCCCTCAGTCCTATTTAAGTTCCATATCCTTAGCACCCCTTCTCCTCAATCTTTTGCACGACAAGGACGTTTCCCTTTCTGCTCCTTTCCGCTCGATCTCGTTTGATTTACCCAACAACCGTGACCGACTATCCCGCTTGCTGTCCTGAGTATTGGCCTGACCTTCGGATTGGAGCGAGACCTGGTCTCAGGCTGGCGTTCCCCACGAAAGAAAACATACCGAAGGCATACTGCGTTTATATGTTTGATCTATCTTTAATTTTATCAATTATTTTTCACCGTAACGCGTGATTGTACTGTATCGTATCAAAGTCAAGGCAAGTGAGAGCCATCAAAATGGTTTTTCGATTCGGGACGATCATGCGGTCACGCTACGATACGAACTTCGGCCGCGGTTCGATAGAGCCATCGTTTCCCATATGTATGATTCGTTTTCCAAAGACACAAAAATAACACTTTTGTTGGCGTACATATATGAACAATGAACTTGCGCGAATGTGAAGAAGTACAGGTCATAATGAAAAATCAACCTAAGGGAGCGGGGGTATGGAGAGAGGTAAGGAAGGAGTGATGGATGGGCTGTATAGTAGTACCATAGTCAATATAAAAGTCGCGGTTTTTATACATGTCACAATTCGTCAAATGGTCATTTCACTTTTGTGTGTATCGTTTATGGCGAGCCGTTCAGGCCCGGGTGCACGAAAGACGAGTGCTGGGTGGGCGACGAAAGCTTTTCGGGGAGGAAGAGCGGGACCGTGGGTATGAGCTCAAAGACGTGTTGCGCAACGCCACGCCCGGCGCCCAGCGAACCCGTACGGGCCTGCGCCGAGTCGTCCGCGCGCATCACGCCGTGTACGCGCGCTTCTTGCGATGGTGCTTCCTCCCACGTCCCATTGGCACCTGGTGCAATCGGCGGCGCCGACCCCCCGCGCCCGTCCCAGATGCATCGAAGGTCGTTTCCGGGGATGATCTGGCAAAGCCGCCCGGTTTCGATGTGTCGCACTTCGATGAAGCGCGAGTCAAAGATGAGGACGTATGGTGGATGCCAGGCGACATGCTCGGCAGTGCCTTCCCATTCGATAGTGCCCTTGGTACGACTTGGGTCGCCGTGCCGGTTCACATACAACCCGAACTCTGCGAAGGAGAGTTAGCGTATTAATAGAGGGAGCACCTGAACTAGATATCACCGTCGTAGCAAAGGAGGAATTCGTTCTCGCTAGAGCGGAACATCCCCATTGGACGACACGATTCACAACGTTTGGCAAGTTTCTCATGGCGCGGGTCATCACGTTGTGGAATTGTGACGCTCTTGAAACTACACATCCAACACGTCAGACATCGAAGACAAGGGAGGTGAAGAGGACTAACTCGGAAAGGTCCATGATCTCGAAACCCTTCGTACAGAGGATGGCGATCCTGGCTTTCAAGAAGATGAGGTCATATGACTCGGATGGTAGGAAGAAGTCCTGTCAAAGAGCGTTTAAGGTCCCGCGAAGCCGTGGGAGGGGATATACGTACTCTGTAAATGCGGAACCACTCCGAGCGGGGTTGCCGTAGGCCAAATCGAGAGCTCAAAAACACGGGGGCCTTAGCCTTCTCGTTTATCTTTCCAACAACCGGTTCAAGTACGCGGAAGACGCTGTCCAACTGGTTGACTCGGTGAGATCAACGCAGGAGCCGATATAACAGAACAACGACCCTACCCCTTTTTTCTTCATGTAAATTACAAGGGTCCGCCCACCGAGACTCCCAACACTGAAGAAATGTACGTCTTTTGAGCCGTTTAGCTTCTGCGGTGTCTGTGTAGTGTTTGCGCTTTGTGGCGATGTTGGTACAAGCGCTTCGATGTGGTACGCAAATAGTGACTAAGAACCGAGCGTCAATCAGATCATCTAAGCTACGCAGAGGAAACAGCCAGCTTACTTTGTCAGCAAGCACAAGGAAGATCCCGAAATCTTCGAGCATCGCACATTGGGTGACCATCTTCAGGTGCAGTACCCTGCGCATGGCTGCAAGGGGGATAAGTGATGGCTTGACATCGTAGCAACGCAATCCTCACATCTCGAATCGTGGCG